CCGCCGTGGCCCGGCAGTCCACTAGCTCTGCCAGGCTCCCTCGTCCCTCCGGCTCCGCCTTGGTCTGGTGTTGCCCATCCTGCACCTCGGGACTCCACTCCTCTGGCTTCGCCTCATCCCTCCGTCCCTCCGGCTCCATCAGGCTCCTTCATCCCCTCGGCTCCACCTCAGTCCTCTGTCGCTCCGGCTCCACCGCGGCCTCCCGGATCCACATCTCCGCGTCGGTCGCCGGCGCCATCTGCTCCGCCTAGGACCTCCGGATCCTCCCCGTCGCCCTTGCTCATCGGCTCTCCGCCTCGAGCTCCTCCACCACCTGCTCTGCCGCCGTTGGTCGGCCCCCTGGAGTGGGTGGCCATTCCTCCTCCATGGCTCCTCCCTCCGTCGGCTCCACCGTGGGTCGACATCATGGCTATGGCCTGGGTCCTGCTGTGCTCCTCTTGCTCCGGGTCCCTCCTGTCTCCTCCCTGGCTCCTCCCTCCTTCGTCGCCCCCCTGATCTCTGTCTGCCGGCCTCCTCCTAGATATCCGTCCTCCTCCAGAACCTCCTCCCAAGTTCCCACCCATGCCTCCCTCTGTTGTTGCTACGGTGCGAGGACGCACCTTCCGGGAGGGGGCGTTATGTCAGGATTATGGACTATTCGGTGTGTTTTTGCCCCTGTGACCCAGTTTCTTCCTCATGTTGATTGTGTTCATTTGATTCCAGGTGTGTCTCGTTCCTCCCCAATTATCCTGCCTTTAAATGCCCTAGTCCTTTCAGTTCTTGTTTGTGGGGTCTACTTGTTGAATGTCCTCCTTGTTCTGTTTTCCTGTGGACTATTAAAGACTGTGTTATTCAAGTACTCCTCGTTTCCTCGTTCCTTGCTCCCTGAGTGAATTGTGACAATTAGGTATTTTACATATTTTATTGTCATGCCTCTGACCATTGTACATGGTTTATACATGTTTGTAATTAATGATTATTAGTAATAATAATTTATGAACTTCAACTCAAAATGTTTCCTGTAACCTTTATTATAATGACTGTTTTCAGTACATTTTAAGATGCAAAGCAGTTTCTAGTAGTTCATGTAGGTTGGTGCAGGTTGATACCTACTGTACCAGTAATGATTACTAACTGTGTATTAACATAATATTATATAAGTTAATTATGGAAACGGTTACTGTGAAATGATGGAAACGGTTACGCCTCGAGTAATGCCTAAAACATTTAAAATTTGCAATTTGTTTTTTTTTTACCGTGAATTTTTGGTAACCACAGCTTCCAGTTTTGTTTTTTTTACCACTAATTGTTTACAAATTACCATCATAAAACCAGTCACAGTTTGAGTTTTAAAGCAGGGCATGAGCATAGCACAGACTTGTTTGGCAGAAGAGGGTGCATGACACTAACAGTTGCTTCTGGTCAGATATTTCTCATACTTTTAATAGTCTCCATATACCAGCTAAAATAAAAATTAAAAAACTATCTGTAATCAACATGTGCCTTCAGTTCAAACATATCATGAAGGATGTCAAACATGCAAGCCACACCAAAAACGCATAGCTCACACACATGAAAATGTGGTATGCTGCTAGGTATGCACGGCTGTAGACCTCCTAGACAAACACATAAAGATTGTTCTGGAGAGATGCATTTTCATATATACAGCACATAATCCTGAGACACAGACAAGTAAAATGATTGCAGTCCTAGTCAACATATTTGGGCAGCATATCGCCATGCACACTGATCATAGGTTTACTGTACTGCGTGCTGCACATGCTGTGTTAGCTTAATAAATGCTGCTAAAGGACAGTTATTAATTAATTTTGTCACCATTTATTCATCCTAATGCCATTCCAAATGTCATATCTTCCGTAGAACACAAAAAGAGAATATCAGTAGAATGTTCATGCTGCTCTTTTGCATATAATGAAAATAAATGGTGACCAAGTGCTGTCAAGCTTAAAAAATCACAAAAAAGTAGGACTGGGTTAAAAATATTTATTTTTAAGGTTTAAATAAATCTGTCATGAAAATTGTTATGACAGCCACCATTTAAATGTTTATATTTAAAAAAAATTAATTGGAATAAAAAAAAAACTAATATCATTAAAAAAATGATTATAACATAAAAGGTTAATTTCAACATTTAATATTATAGTAATGTACCAGCTGACAGGGTTCCCTTTATAGTTCACAGGATTAAGGTGTGGTCACATTTATCGTTGCTCTGTGAAATTTCGCAGGCAAATTCCATTAATTTCAATAGGAATCTGTGCAATTGGGAATTTCGCAATAAAGTTCCCCATGCAGATTTTGCTCCCGTTCAAGTAGCTTACGCAAATGCGTGGCGCTGACCAACACTAAACTGATTGGTTTGAAAGTGATTTGTGTGTGAGAAGTGCTTCATATATTGCTAAAATACACCGTTTAAAAAAATGACATGTACTGCACCTGATATATATTCAAATGAATCGATACTGAATCAAGATTGGAACTGAATTGAATTGCGAACTTGTGAATTTAAACCAAATCATGAAATTTGTGTAAACACCCAGCCATACAAAAAAAGCACAATAAAAGTATTATAAAATATATATGAAACAGAGCAATAAGTCAAATGATAACAGAATAGTCTTTTTTGTTGTTATTGTGCAAGGATTGAGTATCTTTGTGTGAAACATTGAGCGCATTATTGCACGCTGCTGATCAGAAGACTCTAATGATCACACAGACACCATCAGCCCATAGGGGCTTTAACACAGCCTTACACTGATACACATGCACATATACGTTATCTTCTGCTCCTCAGTGTGTCTCAGCAGATGATACAGCAGCTTGCGGGGTTTCTTTCTGCACATAACAGACAGATGCCGATAAAATTCTCCAGCTTTTTAGAAGCCAAGCATTGGCCACGTCAAGAAGATGTCTGAAGTTTCTTAAAATTCTCTGTGACCCTCAGGAGACGTTAACTTACAAAGCAACGGTGTGTACTTGTGAGCATGCTTTTAGTGTGCAAACAGCATAAGAAAGCCTTTCTGGCATTCCCTTAGGGAGGAACACCGCCTTGCTATAATTCTTGATGATTCCTACACTGCCTTTTCATCTCACATCTCGCTTATCCTTCCTTAGCAGTTTAGATTTGCAAAAATATAAGGATGTTTGTACTTTAAACAGTTCCTTACCTCTAGGTATTTGACTACATGTGTTTATTGCACATATAGACTGTGATCTAATGTGCATCAGCCATGTTCCTGCGTATGAGCAAAATAAGTGAATAACACATTAAAGCACAGTTTGTTATCGTCCTTATGAGCCATCACCTTATTTACCCTCCCGAACACATCACACGCCATCTGACACAAACAAAACTCAAGCCAAGACATCCACACAACAAGATAACACGTGCAGGCAAACAAGTGCACATTGTTGTATGTTTACTGAAGCTAGTTACCGCTGAAAAAAAAAACCTGCAGTCATATTCCTATCTTGTGAATCCTCACAGGGAGGAATAAGATGGAGATGCTGATCTACCTTTTTCAAAAACATAATTACTTAAAAGCAAAACATTCAGCCAAGTGGAACGTTTTCCTCATTTGAATTACAAATGACTGTCTTCCTCTCTTTTCTCACTTCATCTAGAACTCATGAGCTAAATAAACCATCCAATTACACTCAAATGATCTTTCTCAAAGAGGTTCACCATATCTAATGCAAAAGATTTTTAGTGTTGTAAACCTAATGTCCCTTTTCAAATCTCGTATTAGCAATGGATTGTATTTACACTAAGTGAAAATAGCAGTATTTTAGCAATATGCTATTTACACTAAGTGCAAATACCTATTTACATTATGTTAAAATAGCAGGATTTCTACTATCAAGTATACTACTTGTTGCAAATAGTGGCAATTATCTGCACTTCAGTATTGTAGTACATTATAAAACAGTATGCAATAATAACATATTGAGTGTAAATTATAATTTTAATTTTAATTATTAAATGGATGCCACCTTATTGGTACAATAAAGCCCTCCCTACACCTACCATGCCATTCCAGAGCGGAAGTAAATGTTCAGATTTTGATTAGAGATTACCAAAACAAACAATTATTTTCAGCGGATTAACTTGCACGGATTAATTGTTCACATGAAGACTAGCAATGTGCGCTAGTAAAGTAAATAAAGTCAATTTTGATTTCATGCGAACTTTAAATAAATAGTAATAGGAAATAGTATTTTCTTGTAAAACATAGGCCTACTCAAATAATTGTTTTAATTACAACTTCAAAAAATATTTTTTTCACAGTGTATAGTTAAAAATACTATTTATATTTATATATTGACTTATATATTTATAAGTCAAATTGTAAAATAACCTATTTGGTTCTATTTTGTATTATCTAAATAGTTATGTTCTTAGTTTTGTAACCATTTATGCACACAAGTGTGTTTATGTTACAGTGTATGTTTCTTGCATTATTATAGTGGTGTGTTTTTTTGTGTGTGTGAGCAACACTGTGTTCATTAGACGACGTTCATGAAAACTTTAACTTTATGTGACCATGGAGGGGCCATTGAGCCTTTGACTGCCAGAGGGATCCCAGCTGATCACTCAACCTCCACGTGACCCGTCACTTTACATTCTGTTTGATGAGATGACGTGACTACTCAACCAACTTCATTCATTAATATAATTTTTAAACGAATTCTAACATCTTTCTTTTACGTGTATTGCCGACATCAACATCTGTCAATAACAGACATTGCTAGAAGCTCAATATATGATAGACCACAATCTTAATTGCATGACAGCTTAAGTGCGCTCGCTGTCGCGCATTGATACACAGTGTCGTTTCTTTAAAACGAGTTCAATTAAATCTGGCACGCACGCAAATCTGGACAAATATGTAAGATTTGCATTTTATAAACGAAAAAAAAAGTTCACATGCGATTCTAACTGGATATATAGTATTTTCTCTATTGTTCTAGCAAAATACATACGAATGCAAAATACACACCTTTCATCCAGTCGACCACCTGGCTTGTTGACCACCTGCTTACAGGTTCCATGACCAGAGCCATTGTGGAAGTTTTTGCAGACGGTGCCAAGCAAAGGTGCGAAAGAAGCGCTTCAGCACACTCCAGATCCACTCAGGCATATTTCTGCCCGTTTTTTATCCGCTGCATGTTTACCCTGCAAATTCTGCTCTGGTTCTTGCAAACGAAGCGTCGGTGATCTTTCTAGTTCAAAGCATTGCTCTGCATTCCTTCGCAGCAGTCTTTGTGAGAGAGCTGTCAGAATAACGTTAGATTTCTCTTGGTCTCGCGCGAGGGTCTATCCTCCTTATCATTTTCACCCACGTTGCGATGCCTTTACTGTTTCAGTCTCTCATCCCATATATAGCCTATCGAGCCATAGAAGACAAACAACGGTGAATTCACGCAGCTGTTTGCCTCGTCTCAAGCTGTTAGCAGTAAACAGTAGTCTGCACGCGCGCCCCTCGCGCCAGTCGTTGGCTCTGTCATGAGGGCCAAGCAGCGGAAACATCTCCATAATTGAGCTGTGTGCAAACGAGAATATTAAATACACCCTTACAACTAGTATTAAAAGATTGGGACTGGAATGCTCTATTATGCAGAATCAAATGAGTCACTGTTTACTTGGAAGCCTTTTTTATTTCAATGCTTAGATGAAGAGTTTTTTTTTTTTTTTTTAAATGACCAATCATTATTTAAAGGGTTAGTGAAAATTCTTTCTTCTGTGGAACACAAAAGGAAATGTTGAGCAGAATAACAGTCTCAGTTACTATTCGCCATCATTTTATGGAAATAAGATGCAACAAAAGTGAATGGTTACTGATACTGTCGATCCCTAACCCCTCTTTTTGTGTTTTCAATGGAAGAAAGAAAGTCATATGGGTCTAGAACAACATGATGGTGAATAAATTATGACTTTCATTTTTGGGTGAACTATCCCTTTAACCCAATCTTGCAGAGAGATTAGGTGCACACATATTAACACACAATCTAAATGATCATTAATATTTATAGTTTTAGAAAGATATGCATTCAGTTGAATGCATGATTAAAATCTTTATCTAAATGCAATTTCCATAAAAAAATGCATTTTTAAGATGTTTTAAATGCCTACTGTCCTCAAAACTGAAGTGACCTATAGTCAGGGCTTTGTGCATGATCATTCAAGGGGAAACATCCAATGCTGTCGGCTGACTTTCATGCCACTAGCTTGTCCCAATTAAGCCTCTTTCTTAAAAGAAGCACGGTGCTCAACAAAGAAACATCCCCATGATGTGCTGACAAGTCAGCTTGGTTTATGCAACCATTCATTAACGGGATAGTTTACCCCAAAATGAAAATTCTGTCATAATTTACTCACACTTTTGTTGTTTCAGAATTATATAACTTCCTTTCTTCTGTAGAACATAAAATGTCATAGCGTATATTTGCCCATTCAAAGAAAGTCACTGGTCACCAAAATGGTTTGGTTACATTCTTCAAAATATCTTTTTGTGTGTGTGTGTGTGTGTGTTTCTCAGAAACAGAGAAAGTCATACAAGTTTGGAATGACACGAGGAGTCTGCCTTTCATTTTTTTTTATGTATGTTAACATTACAGCATTAGATTACAATTAGATTACAGAACTGAAATGTGATTGTTGGAAAAAATATTTATACTGTATGTATAGCACTATTTTAACTAAAAAAAAACTTACAAACTAAATTCATGAACATGGATCAATCTAAGACATAAAATAAATCATTACCTAAACAAATAAACAGAGATGCATTTCACAGAGCGTTTTATGTTGATTTCACATCTCATGAACATAAGGGGAGTGTGCTTTGCCTTGAGGACAGATGTTGAGATTCCTTACAGCCTGCAGGGGTATTGAGAAGAGGCTTTTAAGGGACAAGGGGAGGAGAAGGGATCAAGGTTCAAGAGCTGCTCCATTAAGACTCAGACTCACCATCTGCAGCTAGAGTTGGGGGCCTAAACATCTACAACAAATCTGCAGGATATGAGATCAGTGTCTTTCACAGTGGGAATTCAGGCCTTTTAAACATAGAAACAACACAATCTCAAAATGGGATCCTTCACCAAAGTGGTGTCAAAAAGGGTATAAGTCGAGGGTCTTCTAGCTTTTTTCAGACGAATGACCCTCTAGTGCATAGAAAGACAGACCAGGGACCCCCTGTTACCAATTTTATTTATCAAATATTTTGTAGCTTTTGACATTTTGTTTAGGTTTTTTTTTTCCCATAATAAAAAATTTATCAGAAAAATAATTGTCAGGCCGCTGTTGAAGACCTCTGGTATAGGTAGATTTCTTCAAACATGTGCCAGGATTATGTAAGCAAAATTGGAAAATGGAAAAAAAAAGTTTAAAATACAAGACATAACCATAATATTACATAATGAAATACACATTTACTGAATAAAGAGCACAAATATAAATCTTATGCAAGTTATATGTAAATATAATAATAATAATACATCAATACCAGAGACACTTAACCTCCTGAGACCCTGCATCCTCATATGAGGACATTATATTTTAGTGAATTTCTCTGAGACTATACATGCCACAGTTTTATGTCAGGATGTCCTGTACAGAGCACATTCAGGGCTTTTCAGAGATACTAAATGTTTGGATGCTTCACCATGACCACTCCCTCTCCTTGGTCTTCAAAAATGTCTGATATTAATTTACTGACACTCTTATGGAAATATGACAATATTTTGTAATTATCATTTAAATCTGACTAATTTTTAAACTGTGTGTCATAAATCAACATCTCAGAAAAATGTTATGGGGTTTCAAATCAAAATATGACTTTCTGTTACAAAACAGGACGTTGATTTCATACATGTCCACTGTAGAGGACACCAGGACTTAAAGCATGTTTATTTCGCATTTTGGGAGACACAACAAATGAATAGGG